CATTCCTAAAGATGTACTTTAGTGGTTTCCTCTTATAATTTTCACCACCCTTTCATAATTTACAGCCCTGTGGTTGAATGGTACCTGACTGCTCAGCTGTAGCACTGGTGAAATCAGATTCCAGGTTCATTATGCTGAGGAGGGTATAATTATACCCTAAAGAAGGAAGAAAATATTGCAAAATATCACATGTGCAATCCAACTATCCCATAAACACTGGTAAAACTGTCATGTTAAGCCATTGCAGGCCCTTTTACAGGGTCATAGCATGGAAAGAAGTAATGTGCACCTCTCTTTTTGGCCACAAGCAATGCAAAGTGATACCTGAAGATGTTTGTTTCAAGCTGTTTTCAGAGAGAAGGCTCGTATGAAACACTATTTTTTTTCTCCTCTGATTCTTATTAGAACCAAATTTTGCAGCTTGGCCAAAAGCATTTCCATTACTGAAACAAGTACAGTGAAAGAGATTTCAAATCCCATCTTTTATTTATTTTGTTCCTTCAGCGCATGGGTTCAGATATAACTTCATTTATATACCACCAGTAGCCTTATAGCACATATAATTTACTGTTACAAACAGCAAAACATTTTATAGAACAGAATATCCACCCATATGGAGAAACAAACCCAGCAACGTTTGCTATAATAACAAGATTGCTTCAGCAGTGTAAATGACAGCGTTAATGCTCAGCTATGTTAAATGGCTGCTATTCCCCTATTAGAGTCAGTGATATATCTTCATTGTTTCCCTAATGTAGCCAACAATTGAGAGTTAAGTAGTAGCCACTATTCACYTTGAGTCGGCTTTACAAGTATTTTATATGCAAAGAAATAGACTGCTTAAAATATGCCCTTTACTATGTCCCACTGAATTACAGTGTATAAACAGTAACGATTACTTGCTAAAACATTGCAGTGTGTATTTGCTGTAGTAAAAGAGACAAAGCCATGAAAACCAAGGGCAGTGCATAAGCTTTTAATTTTACGTGGAGATAGTGAACGGGAGTGACTTTGTCAATATTAATCATAGGACTTTCACATTAATAATATAGGTTCTATAATCAAAAATCTAAAATGGTAGTTTAAGATTTTATTCAGGAAAAAAAAGAGCTATCTTACAGTGATACTAATTAAGTAGCACTTTTAGTCTGGTGTAATTTTGAATTTGTGCTGTTCCTGTGGGGAAAAGCGGCCGCTCCTTGCAAGTGTAAAGCCTGGAATCAGCTTCCTTTCCCTCTGTTCCTGCCCACAAAAGAGCATCCTCCTCCCTGAGCTCGCACGCACCAGCGTGTTGTGCTAACACAAACCAACACACCTTGGGTTCATCCCCAGCAAAGGAAGCACGGCCACATCCTCCACGGAGGTGACATCCAACAGCACTGTGGTTTTCAGCCCCTGATAGCAGAGCAGGGGGAGAGTTAGGAGGACAATTAAGACATGTTATGGTTCAATAAGGAGAGTCACTGCACATCTCGCTTTTCTATCCCCAGCTAGCAGAGTTCAGGCAACACGTAGGCCTCTCTTCATCTGCGAGGCAGCTTGGTTTATTATATGACTGAACACGAGCTGGGAAGTGGAGCGAGCCCGCAAACTTCTGCGCTTCCCAGGACTCCTGAGCAACTTTGCAGGAGGAGATTCCTCTYCACACTCTGCACAGGGTCACACACGTCTTTGCAGAGAGAAACCCCAGGCTGTGGATGCTCACAGTTCTGGGGGACAAGTTTGGTGTGAGTGCAGGGCRCCAGCGGCCCCACACTAACTCAGCACACCCATAGAGCTCCTTCTCCTTGAGGTCCTTTGGGAATCAAATAGCATTTTGTAGAGCATTAATGTGGGCATGTTTTTATTCCTGCTCTAAACCTGAACACAAAGCAGGCTAAGCAAGCAGAGCCTTGGCTGCTCCATATGMACAGCTTTATCCCAAGGTGCAGAGCAGAAATTTTAGCTCCAAGTCTTGCCCTCCAGGCTAATGGGATGTTGCACCTCCCTGAAGAAGTCTCCAGTAACCCCACTGCTGACCCCCTCCAGCCAAACAACATTCCTTTTTTTTCCTCAAACAACTCCAGCCAGAACCAACAGGAGTGGCTGAGAGGTTATTCTCATCCCCATCTTTTTTTTTTTATTTTTTAAACATTAAAAAAAAAGAAAAGGAACTCAAAATACTTCAAAAGAGAGGAGGAAACAGGAGAGGCAGCACAATGCAGCCCTCTGCAAAGGGCGYACAGCAAAGACTGCTGCTGCTAATTTTTATTAGAAGCGTTTGCAAACGCTGCTGCTTGACAGCTGGAGAGTTGTTCACGGGCAAAAAGGAGCACCCACAATTTATTTCACATCGCAGGCACTTCAGGAGTACTTCACACCTGCCAGTTTACATCTTCCTAGGTATCCAGGGTTTTCCTTTSAATGAGCCCCACGCGGGCTGAGCGGCTGCCCCTCGGCTTACGCGGCCCATGGCAAAAGGAAGCGACACGAGAGCTATTTTTGTGTGGCGCGAGCCCTAGGTGTTTGTGGAGCACGAAGCCTGGGCTATACTGCGTTTCACAGCACTGTAAGCATTCTGCAGGGTTGTGACAGCTATTCACAGAGCCACGGTTATGAGGCTCGATTTTGCCTCTACCTACCCCATAAGCATTTATTCTTATTATGAAGAAACCTGGTAGTGATTATTGTGCTTTACCTGGGTTGTAACCCTAGGACAATTCAGGAACGTGAACCCTGATGCAGGTGGCAGCCGCCCTGGCAATCAGCACTTTGCAACTGGTGCAAAGCGATACCCGTGCTCCAGCTTTCCAGCAGCTTCCTTGCCGAGGCCTCCGCTTTTGCAATAGATTGATCTGTTCAGCTCCCTAAGTTCACAGAGAACAAGGACTTTCTTATCCTTTACTTGGGCTCCAAAAACRTATGAGTATAAAGTTAGTGACAGCACCGTCTTTTTATGCATCTCCAATAATGCCTCTAATAATGATTCTTATTCTTCCTACTGAAATATGCACTGCAGGCTATCAGTCACAAAGAAACSAATGGCCTTATCTATATATATATATATTTTTTATACACACAGAGTCACACGTATTTGAGATCGTGTCCTTACACAGTCTCTCACTCTTAACAATGCAGTCTCTTACTGTTAACAAATACTTTGCTTAAAAGTATTTGTACTTTTAAGAACATACTTAGCAGTATATGTACACTTTAATGCAAGTATGTTCTAAACAGACACAACAAACCTCATCATGATACACAGGGTGGGAAGCAAAGGTCTGATAATGCTGGGACATTTGCATTCTTCTTTGCTGTAACTTCCAAGAAAAAGACAACATACTTTTAACAGCACAAAATAAAAAACTTGTAAGAAGGTCAGAACATGTAAAAGGTCAAGCAAAGCCATATATTTTGTTTAGTAATATTATCCTTTATTATTTTACAATATATTTCAAAAACTTTTACAGATGCCTTGAACTGTTCTACAAGAGCTGCAATACTGTCAAAAAAGCACACCTACAGACTGAATGCACAAACAAGCTGTCATACCTACTGGTACCGAACCATTTATATCCAGAGGGTGTAGTCTTTTAGTAAATAGATGTGCAGTAATGCAAATGCAAACAGATGGTAATGCAGAAACATAAACTCTGCATTCATGGTTATAGAAGAGAGGACTTCTCAAACACATTTGGTACAGCAACATTCTAGACAGCAATGAGTAGTATTACATAGTTAAAGCAATACATGCCCTGAAAAGCCTGTATTTTCAATCTGTGCGTGTAAACCTGAATCAAAAATAAACTATATGTATTAAAAAATGGGACATCTATCTGACAACAAAGCTTTGTCTCTTTTTTTTTTTTTTTTTTTTGTCCTAGCATGACAATTAACTTGAGCGGGTGAACTCTGCCCTGCGTTGTTATTTTACAATATCACTCTTCTGTATTTCAGTAATATTAGCACTGCCTGGCAAAGACTTTTTTTAATTCCTTCTGCAGAGGCACAGGGGAAAATCTCAATGTATTAAACTTCTGTCTCGGTCTTCGAGTGGCAAATATAGTTAGCATTATAGTAAATACGTTACCACAAAAGAGCACTGTATAACAAGGTTCATTGTATTACTGAAATCCTCAGCTGTGTTTCTCCRGTGCAAGAAAGCGGTGCCACTGCAGCTCTCAAGCACTGTACCTAAAAGCCTCTCAGGCACATGGACCTTGTAACCTCCCAGATACACATTATCCCCTAGCTACATCGTCCTCTACCGACACGAGTTTTGCTTTTACCAGCGTTTCTGGTCACAAAAATTACCCAGACATCTTCAAAGCTGCACTGTAAGTAACAAGGTAAAGCCACTTGACTGCTTAGGATTTACTTAGTTTATTTACTTTCATGGGGGTCTCATAGAAGCTATAAGGGAGGGGGCTGTAACTACACAGCAGATTTCTATCAGGTAAAAACATAAGAAGGGTTAAAGTCACAAATTATGACAGTGGCACTGTGGCAAGAGGCATTCATTCTGCTTTATTCTTCAAGTTCATCAAGTTGCAGTCAGCGTTTGCTAACAGCAAACGCCGTCTCTGAGGTGACTACGGCCAAGGGCCCTCCGGCCGCGAGGACAGGGCTGCCACACCAGACCACAGCTTCTCGGCTACCGCCYTCCTCACTCACCTCAGTAGCAGCCAGTGGTATTTATTACTTATATACACGAGTCAGTCACAGCCATCATTACAAATATGTCCTAGTTTATTTGCTGTACACTATATGTACACGTATTTGTTCAATCCCTTATTTCCTAACACTCCAGTGGTTAAGGGCAAGCTGGAAAAAAATTCAATATGCAGAAAAGGGATGTAAATTTCAGGTCTGTAGTGATTCTATTTTAATAGCAAGAGGGGAACAGGTCATGCTCAATCTGTGAACATGGTTGGCAAAAATAAAGGCAAAAAAGTGGCAGAATATGTTTTTCTCTGTAGTCAATGTCTAGAAAATTAAATTAAGTAGCATCAGGTTCAAGTGATGTAGAAATAAAAAAAGGCATTTTGAGTAATGCACAACTAGAGCTATTAAGAATTTTCTTTCACAGAGGCCCTGAGAGTTGAGTTGAATGCATCTTCCCTACCATGTGTTTCATGTGAAGTCAAACTTAAAGCTCTGGACGTGTAAATGTTTGGTATACAACAGTGGACCCATTTTTAAAAAGTGAAGCAATAAAAATCGACATGAAAAACAGATGAAAGGACAACTTGATTGGAGGCCTCTGTTCTTTGASCCCTGCCCTATCAGGGTAAATGTCCAATAAAATGTAAAATGCAGCATACATTTGCGTAACCTAAAATGCTGGGGTAACTTATTGCAAATTGCACTTGGCAGTTCACCACACCGATGGAAAACTGGCCCCCCTGTTGGTTCACACAGTCTTTTAACACCAAACACAAGTCACCAGTAGAAAGATCGGGATAAAAAGTTTGCTGCTGTGCTGAGCCAGCTCGCAGCACCCTCGGGGTGCGACCCAACACGAGACACGGCTTTATCCTGCTCCTTGCTGGGGCTTTCATCCTCTGGTAAATACTCAGGTAGATCTGTATTCTGCTCTACTTCGACCGGCGTGTCTTGGAACGGAACCAGCATCTGATAAATGCAACAGATGAAGAAGATGTCAGATGTTGTAACTGGAAAGAGTGAGCGAAAATTACACACACAGACACTTTCAGATGATAGGCATGCATGCTCCAAGATTTCTTGCCCCCACACATATAAGCTGAGTAGCTAAAAAGGCCCTGTTATATATCTGGAATCTATTACACTTAGAATTGGCACAAGYAAAGTTTGGCTTTAATATGAAAGGAGCTTAAGAAAAAAAAAAAAGTTCTTTCACTGAGGATATGAAACGGAAGCACTTCAGTAACTCCCGCCAGAAAGGAGACCATCCTGTCCAGATCAGGAGAGCCTGAGGTCAAGGAGGGAAATAATTACTTTGCTTTTGCCCTTCTTTTAAAGGGTTCAATGATCAGTTCTGTTAAACTGCTCTATGGATATACAAGATATTCTTTCCCTATTCTGCATATATAATACTCCCAAATTAAAAAAAAAAAAAAAAAACACGTTGTCTGGCATTAAATATTATGGCCACGGTTGTGCTGATATTGCAGACCCAGCCACCCTAAATCAATGACCCTCTGGGAGGAGCCCCATCCTACCTCCTCTCCGCTTTCGCTTTTCACAACTTGCTGTGCCTTCATGACCTTGGTCGACGCTATTGCTGTTGCCAAAGCCTGTAACAAGGGGAAGAACACGCAGGAGGAAACAAAACACACAACCCATAAAAGCTTCTTAGTGTCACAGAACTGCAATGCACAGGAAATCCAGAGTTATTCAGTACCTACCTCTGCTTTCAAGTCGGAGCGAATTCGGACCACGCATCTTTGAACAGCCATTTGAAAAGTAAAACTAATAACACCTTTAATTTTCAACAAGGCCTCTTCACAAAGATTCCTTCGAGACTGAGGAAAAGGGAAAAAGAGAAAACACAAAGACATGAGATACATGCAAGAACACTGGTAATTAGTGAATTAGGGATARGGAATTTAGGGAATTCCTGCATGTCTAAAGGCAGGTGGTTACTCAACAGCGATTGCAAAAGCAAAACCAGGACAGGTTACATTTATTTTTTTGTGAACAAATAAACTCTACTGCTACTGAAGAATTCTTAAAAAAAATGCTTACATTTTAGAAGTGAAACAGGGATGGATTCAACTGTAAATAATCAGAGAAAAGTGCTGAAAAGCAAAGAATGTTTTTCTCCGTATGATCAGCTAAACAGTCCCCTGTGGTTAAGTTCTGATTGACTGAAGTGCTCATTGATGAACAGTTAGTGTTTAAGTTGCTATTTATCAGACACCTTGTATTCATACTGACGGAATGCATCAAAGCAGCTGTTCTATCCTTCAGCTGCTTCCTCTGTGGCAGCTCCTGGACATCCCAGCATCAGCTCGGCTCTTACTTCAAGGGGAAAATGCGTGCAGATAAACCACAACGTTACGTTTAAAGCAAGTGACATCTCCTACTGTGCACTAACATCACACTGACCTGCACTAGTTACAGCTGTTCTACATTATCCTAGAGTGCTTTAATACTTTTTCTTTTAGTATTTGCATGACACGATAGTTGTAACAAAATATAATTGTAGAAACTGCTAGCACAAAGGTGAGTAAAAACAAAAGAYGCATTGTACCAGAAAATATGACAAGTCACAGGTTCAAACTAACTAGGCATCTCATTTAACTGCTGTTGCAGGTTTCTGCAAGGTTTTCAATAGTAAGTTATTTAGCTCAGTATTAGTAATAAGCATACTAATGCTAATTATCAAATAATTATTGGTCAGTACTTGGGACAAAGACAGCAGCGTGTACAAAAAGTAAAGCCCTCAGCACCTGGAACAACTATCTGAAGCAGTCTGTTGTCCAACACATGTACTGAAACAATTCATGTATGCTTATGCATTGAAACAATCAACGTTTTTGAGAGTTAAAAAAAAAAATCACCATCAGATGGGCTACATTTCTTATACACACGAAACGTCTGATGCAAATACAATATGTGTCTAACTGAAACGGCAACTGAAAGCCAAAATGAGCCTCCAACRTAAGCAGCCCCACATCCACAGCTTATTAGCCTAAAGAATTTGGGATTGTGTGGGTGTGCAGCAGGTCTGTGATAGATCCTGGCTGTTCACTCCAAGATGCCAGGTGCCTCTGTTTCCCGCAGCAGAGAMAGCACTAACTTAACAGGAAGGCTTAAGAGTGGTCCCAAACGGGTGACTCGTGTCTCTAGCACACAGCTTACCAAGCAAATTCCTTAAAAAGCTGGGAGCCCCTCAGCCTCTAATCTAGTTGTACAAATATCCTCTGCAAAATATGCCTAATCATGGCAGTAGAGCACAAACCCTAGCAATACACGGCGAGATACTTATCTAAAGAGGGCTCCTGAAGCCTGGCCACAGTGAAACTTAGAAGCTTATTTTCTTGCACGCRTTTTACATTAGAAGTTGGTGAACACGTGATGTAGGACTCATACTTTTTGCTTCCAAATAATCTGAGCAATGGCTGTTCTCACTCTTCAGAATTATCATTCAGAGCTGACCRGGCAGCAAGAAAACTACTAGAAACCAAAGTACCCCCTTGGTTTCCCTACAGATGCCCAGCTCACTTTCCTCAAAAGTGGATCAAACGCTGCTAGGTGTCAGCACAGGTTGTGGCTTCCAGCTGAGCTACACTCCTRAACCCTACCAAATCCTGCTAAAATGGACTAGAAATTTTACTCAGGAGGACAACAATAGCCGGACTCCYGAGGTGCTACCTTGGGTTTTTTGTTTGCTTGTTGTCTTTTTTTTCCTCTCCTCCCCCACTTTGATTCATCACCCCAACCCCCCTTCTGAGCTTAGCAGCAGCTTTGGTAATTTCTTCTTAATATATAAACATCCTACTATACACTTAACAATCACCAACCTTCCCCCTTTCTTTCCTAGGATGATTAATATCTATTATTTGAGGTCTCAAAATCYACGAACACTTTTAGCATTTGCAATTATTCCCAATGAGTGCTTTTGTTGCTTGTGTGTTTCAAATCCAGATGAGGAGGAGCAGCTAAACTGAAATCACAGTATTCTCCACTCARCCTTTGCTTATTTTGCCTTCTACCACACATCTGCATAACCTCATAGTCCTTGCTAGTTGGGAATAAAATGTTGCATGATACTAACGTGCTTTTATTATTCACAGCCTTCATCATCCTCCTGGATCCAACTTATCCTGGTATTTAAAACACCATTATACGGCTGTTTAACTGCTGGGTAATCGTGGGCACCTGGAATATCACTAGCTTTTCTTTAATCATCTAATGAAACACAAAGCTATGTACACTAGCTGTCTCCAGCCAGCACACAGCCAGATTTCCCTTTTCTTCAACAGCGAGCTAAGAAAACACGCTGCTCTGCTCCAGGCAACTGCCGACTCCTGCAGCTTTGCTCTCTGGRTCTGAATACTGAAGTGTCCTGGGCTTTTTTCCCCCTGAAAAGCAGTGATCACCATTGCCTTGACACTTGAAAGAAATTCCGTGGGTTCGGGAAAAGCTCTATTTGTCAAGAAACATAWGAAAAAGTCAAGTAAAACTGAATGAAATTTTTGCTCAAGAGACCTGTGAAAAGTAAACCRATGAGAGCCTAAAACTCCTATCGGGAGACAACCAAGTGGACTGCATTAAAATAAATAAAACCCAGAGTACAAAACCCAGTCATGTTGACAAAACGCTGCCTGCCTCCACGGAGCGAATGGTGGAAGGCCAGAACTGTAAAAAATATTTACTTTGCACCAAGTGAGCTAGAGCAGCCTGTTCCATCTAAAGGAATGAACCGTGCAGGCCGACGGCTGCGCGGGTGATAGGCCGGGCTCGCGGACRCGCTTACTTGGCAAAACGTAGACCCACAAAGCAAAGGATCAGGTTTGATCAGTTAAAATGGGCTCAAAACTGAAGATACAGAGTCCGGAGGGCACTTGTGGGTAACGCGCTTAAACAGGCTACATGCTGTTTGGCAGCCGTAAAAAGGCAAACGTGGCCCTGGGGTGTTATCTACAGGGGTATGGTAGATAAATCTGTAGAAGTTATTCTGACATTACATAAAGACTCAGTGAGACCTCATTAACTCAAATGCCATTCTGGTCACTACAGTAGAAAAGATCTCACGGACAATGAAAAGATGCAGCAAAAAGCAACTGTTAAAAAAAAAAAACTTAACAAGAAAACACCAAAATAAAGACTGTATTTCTAATTTAGAATAATTATTAAATAAAAAAGTGTCTGGAATCTCTTGCAACTAAAAGGAAACAGCTTTAAATAATACACATATAATCATACAATATCACTAAGTGAAGCTGCTGAAGGTACCTTTTTTATTCTGTTCCTTCTTGAAACGGGAAAGAAAGAGAATTGGGAGATGGGAGAAGAACTGTTTATAGAATAATATCACAGTCATCAAGGAAAGTGCCTTAAAAAACCTTCTTTAGACTTTCTGAGCGAGGTTAGTTTCTGCAAGATGTCATGCATAGACTGTGCTTCAAACTGTGATTCCCAGAAGCTGCTGACAAGCGGGAATGCTACCCAAGGAGCCCCCACATGACCTGTGTGTGCAGAGACACAGACACACCTGAGCACAGCCTGCCTCCCTTTACAGGGGCATTTCCTTACCGAATCATCAAGGCCATCTATGTGTAAAACCACCGTCTTGGCCCGTTTATTTGTGCTGCCCAGGAAAAACTGCGCTTTCCGGCGGCGATAGTTCATCTCGTTCATATTGTCCATGTCTGACAGGCTGGAAGACTGCAGGATGTCGTAGACCTCCGAAGCCAGAAGCTTGGTCTCGCCTGGTGTAGTAGTCCTGAAGGAAAAGGAGCACTGAGATCAGTAAGGATGGAGATTTACATTAGTCCTAAAAGCAGCCACTCACATTCCCGTACAGGAATACTCCATTCTTGCAGAACTATATAGCAAATAGGTAGCAAAAAATATTAAAAGGTTCCTTTAAAAAATATACAAATAAATTTCCCCACTGGTATCAGTGTACTGACTACTGAGCCAAAACTCGGCACTCATTTCTAGCTGAAACCAGAGTCTCTGGGCTATGTTTGTRTCCGGAAGCAGCTGTTCCATCATTTATGTTTCATATAAAAGAACACAGTCATTTTTATTTTCACCTACTAAAAGGMAGCACACCAACTAGGGGGCCCAAACCATCTGTAATGGGTGCTATACATTTCTTTAAAAAAATTTGAAGGGATATTTCCTTTTCCATATTTCATTTATTCACCTGACCTGTTTAAATTCAAACAGCATCATAATCAAATCCACAAGCTACAGTAACACGTTCTAAAAAAGATTTCCCGTTTTTTGACTTTTGTCATGCAGATAATCCATTCCTCTGTAAAACTGATTTTTCAAACTACTTTCTTTTTTGAAGGTATCCAGGATCAACAGCAGAGCAGAAYGTCAGATTTTCTTACAGAATCCAAAGGCTATCTCCATTTCCAGTTGGACTATAAGTTATGGTCACAACTATAGGCTAGTGTTCTTTTCAAGATGAAAAACTATAGATAGTAGACAATATGTATTTATTCCTTATGCTTAATCAAAAATACAAACAAATATCGAAAAATACACACATTTGGGAAAGACATGTGAGAAATAAAATGCATTTAGAACAATGCTAGCCAGTAATACAAAAAAAAATTCAAAATCAACATTGTCAATATGACTGCAAGTACGATGCACAACATGCAAAACCAACAGTGAATTTCATACATGTTTTATGCTCCCAAAATCTTAGCTAGCAGTTTAAAGATTAATAGTAATACGTACTGCACTATTCAAACCTGTACTATCCACTGCTCATTTGAAAGTAAAAACCTAACTATGCTCTTGATATAAATATTCCAAGTTATTCCAAAACAAATATGGATAAATGCATAAATATACACACACTTGCAGAATTCAGACTAGCTTATTTTTCCAAATACCAGATTTTTATAGCCTGCCATTAAGTTACAAGTGGTAACACCAGTAAATCCTCTACATTAAAAAAAAAAAAGACAAACTCAAGATTTTAATCTTGCATTGTTCAAGGGACTCTCCTTCCAAGAGACATTTTTTATGTAATAAAAGGAACAWCATGAAACAGAGAAACTAGACTGTAAGGGAAAGAATAATCAGTATATAAGATTATCAGATTGCAAATCAATCTCTAATAAAAGGTGTAAGCCAAAGCCRTCTTCTCAAGTACTGCAATACTACAGTACTACCAGTAACTTGTTCAAAAACCACAGCAAACAAGCCAACACGTGCTCCCACAAGCACACACCTGCCCACAAAAAAGCCTTCTACAATTTCAAAAAATGAGAGAAAAGGAGAGAATACAAGTTTTGCATTAAACTGTAGCTCTTTCATTAAACAAATTCATACAGCAGCTAGACAAAGGGCCCCAACAACTCTAATAGGAATGGAATAGCGTCCGGGTTATAAGTGAGTTTAAATAAATGCTCTCTATTCTAACACCAAAAGGATGTTCAACACTGACTGTTCCTTGTGTACTATACTGGTAAAGATAAAACAATAAAGTGCAAGCAGAATACAGTCAAATAGAGGAAGTTCAAAAAAAACCCCAAACCCTCGAGGTGGATTTTTGCTGAGTGAAATAAGAAAAGTGKTAAGAGAAGAGAGGCCAGAGAGGCCTCTGTAATGAACCGGCTTCAGTAACTTCAGACGCTGTTGCAACCTGTCCAGCCTTGGTGGCCTTTGGCCACCAGCAGGGTAGTAGAGAGCTGCCTGGTTTGAGGCCAGGCTGGTTCAACATGGGCCTAAGATGTTATCACCAGAGAAGGTGGATCCACAAAGTGGCTTCCAGGGAAATAGTAATTTATGGTTAACAACAAGCCAAGAACTGGAAACATCTGACGCTACTTCAAGATTCAGAAGATGCCTATCAGAAACTCCAAGGTTTAATTTTCATCATCTTTATGCAAGGTACAACATACATATGAATGTACACACACAAAAACTCTGTTGTATATAAGACTAAAATATTATATGCACATTATTTCCATATACATGGATATAACACACATATATATCTATATGTCATATTTCATAGCGGGGTATGTGTGTGTGTATGTGTGCCTGTGTGTGCCTGTGTAYAAATCTCCCTCTGGAAAGGTGCAAGCCTAACCCAGCCCAAGGTACCGCATTCCCTTTGCAGCACCCATGGGTGCTAACACATGTTACCTGAACAGAGACACATAAACAAACACATTATAATGGCATCTCATTAGTGTGTTTCTAATGAATTGTAAGCTAAAGGCAGGAGGTTCAAATCAGAGGCCACCTTCGCTCATCAGAGATTCAACAACATTCCAGGTTCCAGCAAAAAGGACATTCGTGTGCCTTAATTTCAACAACGAAGCTCAGTCTCAATTCTATAATCAAGCCGCATTTGGATGTATTTGCTCAGTTTACCCAGCCCGCACCGTAAGAAGATAACAACTTTATCCACTGAACACATAATTAGAAATTGACCAAAAGTTCCGCAGGGACTTAAGGAAAAATTTCCTAACAGTGAGGGTGCCAGAGCCCTGGCACAGGCTGCCCAGRGAGGCTGTGGAGTCTCCTTCTCTGGAGGTCTCCAAACCCRCCTGGATGCCGCCCTGTGCCCCGTGCTCTGGGTGTCCCTGCATGTGCAGGGAGGTTGGACTACATGGTCTCCAGAGATCCCTTCCAACCTCAACCATTCTGTGATTAGGCAAGYTCAAACCGGATATCCAGTTTTATCTACTTGCAGGTATCTATTTTTGCCTATGTGTGAAAGGGAATAAATCTTGCCACACGTATTCAGTTACGCACATTCATAGGAAAGGCAAACGCTTATATAACCCACCACACAACCAAAACAGAATACGACTTATTTTGGAAACTGGACTTTTAYATAAGTAACTTAAAAATGCTTTTAACTCTCTTGCCAACTCTTTCACTCATGTATCGCTTCGCAAAGTTTGGCATGCCAGTTTATATAACTCTAATACACTTGATAATCTCAAACGTCTGAAATGTAAGCAGCTGTGTAACTTTATTTTCTAATTTGCCTCAAACTTACTTATTCTCACACTTAGACTTCTATTATTCAATGCTCACTCCTTAAGTCCTTTACCGAATGGCATCACAGACTAAGGGCATGGAGAAAATGAAAAACAGTGGCCTTTCTCTCAAAGTCATGAAAAACAATTTGCCTTTTTGTATTTCAGACATTTGCACCTTACCTTATAGGCCRATTTTAGCAGTAGCAGTCAGAGAAAAAGCTATTGAACTCACTAAATATAGGGACTACAAGCTATTGTATTGACCAGGACATTTCTTACAAAATGTTATCAATTCAGGTTAGTACTTCAACACTTACTTTAGGAAATCATTGCTCTAAGTTTTCTCCCTTAAGTAAAAACATGAAAAAAGGAGATTAATTCAATAATGGTACTATATACTTAGTATATGACCAAACAGATCACACAGGAACATCCACACAAACATTTAAATCTCAAGTCATTTCAAACACAGCTCAAGGTGTCGATATAGGCAAGAAAAATGTCAACTTGTAAAGACAGTTTCATACCTGGATAAATAAAGTTTCATGCCGGGATAAATAAGAAAAAGCTGCTGCTAATTTCCTGCAGAAGTCTTGGAAACCCCTGCAAAAAGACAACTCCCCTAAGATGCAAACAGCTATAAGCAGGATATAGGTATACAAGAACACTACATTTGCAGCTACCACTTTCACATATAGGGTGTTATATGAATTTGTACATTCATTGCATGGCTTACAACCATCTCAGAAATTCCTTTGAAATTTCTCAGGAATCCACCTAGAGGAAAAAAACAGCAAAGAACAGAACTATTAAAAAAAAAATTAAAGTTTGATATGGCAACTATGAAGTGAAGATTAAGCCAAATACACAAAACAACATTTCSCAAGTCTAACAAATAAATGAAGTAGAATTATCTTCCTTACCCAGGCTAAGGGGGGTAGCTCATTTATTTGAGAAGATTTTAACCGAATCCCAGACTAGTGTCCATGCTGACGTGAAGCAAAAACAACTCAAATTTCACATGCAAACATAAAAGTCTTAGGCAAGTTAGAGGCGGCCTAATGGATCAAAGGCTCGAATGCAAAACATTCTTCCTGCCCAAGCAAGAACTTTGTGGAGTGGGAAGAATTTTATCTAAACACACTTTGGAGCAAATGAGGTTGAATCAGGAAACATAAAGTATATCTGTAACAGAGATTTATTATTTGACTGAATTACAGTTTTTAAGAAGTCCAACAAATTCATTCTCATATCAACCATAACCTCACAGCCTTTAAGATATTTATTTCTGGGTGACCARTTTCATTTGAAGTTCATTCTTTATATTTTGAAAGATAAAAATTGTCTCTAGCAGCAGCTAAAAAGAGCAGTGAGCTGCAAAAAAAAAGCTATATTCTACAAGGGGAAAAAATCACCACTCTTTGACTCTAGATGGAGCCCCAGTGATTGACACGATTTTGATGAAAACTTTGAGCATGAATGACAAGCCCAAAGAAAGAGCAGAGCCTTACAGAAAATGCAATCTGTTTCAAGACAGTTATCTGATCTGGCTCTTTATTCTGGCTCCAGCGCCAGGGCAAAATTCTCGCTCCCTCTCCAAAAAAGAGGCTTTCTCGTGAGCTTGCAGGGCATCCCACGAAATGCTGGGCCCAGAAACATGTGGTTGGTCTCCTGACTCTGTTAAGGGGCAAGTTAGGCACCGCAAAAAAATAAAGGGGTGGTGGGGGGGGGGGTCAAAAAAAGGCATCATTTAGTG